CACACTTCTCCCTGGATAGTGGTGGCAAAGTCTTGTCAGAACCAGGTTTTGGTCTCTAATAAGAAGACAAAGGTTCTAGGCCCAACTTCTTTCAGTCAGCCAAAAAGCTGGGGAGTAGTGTGTTGCAGAGACTTAAAAGCCACTGAAGGAAATTTTAAACCTGGCCGACAGTGCTGGGAACAGCAGGCTGTCCAGAGCATGCAGCATCTACGTGCCCCTGCTGGTCAGTGAGAAAGCACTGAAGTGCTTCCAACAGGACCCTCTGAAAGAACCTTCTTAAAAAGATGTTTTAATAAATATGTGATAGACCTTTCCCAAACCTAATTGTAAATGATTTCTGTAAATTAGACAAGGACAAGATAAAGGCTTTTCATAGCAAATCGCAGTCAAGCAATGCATATAGTGACACACTCATCAAACTCTAAACAAAAATTGCTTTTTTTCCTGATGCTTACTTATTTAAGTGAATGTTCTAGATAATAACAGCTTCATAGTGTACTTACCAGTCATCCCTGGAATTCGCTTAGGGTAGCCAGAAGGGATTTCCATCCATGAATAGATCACAGATGAAATAAATTTCCTCTGCTCATGCTCTAATTGGAAGGAAATTGCTTAAGTCTGTAACACCCAATGATATGCTGGGGTAAAAAGGAACTCTGGTTAATAGGTGTCTTCTCTTTTATTAATTCTTTTAGCAGACACTTGCCAAGTACTGCTGTGAGCCGGACTCTCTGCTGGGCACTCAGGCCCGGGGGACGGGAGCCACACACCTTGGCCTCCTTGCTCGTGCCTTTGCCTACTCTAAATTAGTCGGCATTCCTTTCTGCCTGTGTTATAAGCCCTTACTACACCATAATAGGACTTTAATTTCCACCCCTTTAACTTGATTAGATTTGCAAGGACAGTCAAAGAATTGTCAAAATCAAGATCTCTTGTTTTTATTTTCAGAAAGTCATTCAAGTATACATTGCATGAATGTATTTTTAATAAATCAAGTCTACTTAGTTCTCATAATTCTGTTTTATTTTCTACAGATACATTTCCTTCTAATGCTTGCTCTAGTGGGGAGTAAAATTCTTCCCCACAGCAGATAGTGGGAAGGATGACAGGAGATGTAGGTCACATCTTACTTGATTTCCAAATGTCTGATTTCACCAGTTTTCAACAAGGATGGTCTGTGATTTGACAGCATATCTACAGTGCTTCACATTCCAAGAAAATTAGACCATCTCAGTCTCCTGCTTACAATTAGTCACTGGCTTCTCATCCTTCCAAGACCAAGTCTAAAATCCTCAGCAAGACCCTGGATAATCACAGTCTGTTAACTTTAGAGCCATTTCACCTGCCTGTCCTTCATGCCTGTCAAGCATCTAGCCTCACCGCGGGATACAGTGTAGGCCTGCACCCCCAGCCCCTCCTGCAGCCCTGTCTCAGGTCCCTTCTTTTATAAAGCCTTTCCTAACCCTAAAGCCCACCTAGTAGGCCTCTCTTCTGCACCTCTGAAGGGTCTTTTCCATTTCTCAATTTAGCATTTATTTTATGCTATTTTTAGTAGACTACTTTTCAGAGTAGTTTTAGGTTTACAGCAAAATTAAGCAGGAGATGCAGAGATTTCCCATATTTTCCCTGCCCCCTCACATGCCTAGCCTTTCATATTATCAACTCCCCCCACCAGAACTGTACATTTATTACAATAGATAAACCTATTCTGACACATCCCAATTGTCCAAAGGTCATAATTTACATTAAGGATCACTGTTGGCGTCACCCTTTCTTGGGGTTTAAACAAACGTATGATATGTATACAACATTATACTATCGTACAGAATAGTTCCACTGACCTAAAAACCCTCTGCGCTCCACCTATTCATTATTCCCGCTCCTTTAACACCTGGCAGACATTGTTCTTTTTACTGTTTGTATAGTTTTGCTTTTTTCAGAATGTTATATAGTTGGAATAAGCTTTTTAAAACTGCCTTCTTTAACTAAGCAATATGCATTTAAGTTTTCTTCATGTCTTTACATGGCTTGACAGCTCATTTCTAGTGCTGAAAGGTACTCTGTTGCCTGGGTGGACCACAGTTTGTTTATTCATTCACCTACTGAAGGACATCATGGTTGCTCCCAAGTTTTATCAGTTGTGACTAAAATTGCTATAAGCATCTATATACAGGTGTTTGTGTGAACCTAAGTTTTCAACTCATTTGGGTGAATACCAAGGAGCGTAATTGCTGGATCATAGGGTAAGATTATATTTGATTTTATAAGAAACCACCAAACTACCTTCCAAAGTAGCTAGCTGTACTGTTACCAGATGGGGGGGCCTGGGCCTGAGTGGGTCTGCCTGGGGCCCGCCAGTAGTGTGTAGTCTCCTGGCTTCATGTAGGAAAGATTTCACAGTGTGAGTCTAGGTGATTTTGAGTGTTTATTAAAGCCGGGGGCAGAGAAACAAGGAAAGGCTCAGCACAGAAGAAGCAACAGGGGACTCTAGGCTGGGCTGCCTTAGCTCACTGAGAAGTTATTGGAGACAGGTTCAGGGCATTAGCCTGGGATGAGCTGCTGCCGCCCATGTCTCCCCTGATTGCAAGTCCTGGGGTCCCTTAGAGTTTAAGAGATGTGTGCCTGTGAGGGAAGAGGGGAAAGGGAAGAAGAGATGGCATGGGCTGCTCCTCAAAAGGACAGCACTCTGGGGCCTTTGTCTTGAGGCTTTTATCTCTCTCTTGCTACAGGGAATCTTAGGGGAGGTCTAAGAGGAAGGTTTCAGCAGAATATTAGTCAGTTTCCCAGATGTGCTCTTTCAGGGTCATGGTGTCCGCTGATTGGCCAGGGCCAGAACAGAGGGTTGTTAGACGTTGCAGTTGGTCCCAGATGTCGCCCACCTGGTTTTGCTGTTTTTCTGGGTCTATAGCTGAAACACAACTGAGGCCTGGACATTATCTCTAGGGAGGTGACCTTCTGTATCTGACTGTGAATCGCTTGCCCATTTTGTTCAGCTGTCTCAGTTCCCGTATTCCACTTGTCCTGGACTGTCTCAGTACCTTTTTTCATCCCCACCAGCAATGAGTGAGAGTTCCTGTTACCCACATCCTCACCAGCATTTGATGTTGTCTGTGTTCTGGATTTGGGCCATTCTAATAGGTGGGGAGTGGTATGTAATTGTTTTAATTTACATTTCCCTGATGACACACGATGTTAGACACTTTTTCATATGCTTATTTCCCATCAGTATATTTTTTTTTGGTGTCTGTTAAGGTCTTTGGTCCATTTTTTAATTAGGTTTTTGTTGTTATTGTTTTAAGAGAGAGAGGGTAAGGGAAGGATAAAGAGAGGGAGAGAAGCATTGATGTGAGAGACATTTATTCATTGCCTCTCATACATGCCCCAGCCGGGAACCAAACCAGCAACCTAGGCACATGCCCTGACTGAGAATCGAACACACAGCCTCTTGGTTTGCGGGAAGTCGCCCAACCAACTGAGCCACACTGGTCAGGGCCGTATTCTTAGTCTTGACTTTTAAAAGTTTATTGTAGCGCTGTTGTAGCCCTAATGTAGTCTATTGTAGGCCAGTGTGGGTCAGTTGGGACATCATCACATAGACTGGAAGGTTGTAGGTTGTGAGTGTGGTCCCCGGTTGGACCACATACAAGAGGCAGCCTGTCTCAGTGTCTCTCTCTCCCATCAAGGTTCCTCTCCCTCTCTCTTTCCTTCCCTTATTCTCTCTCTATAAAGTCGGTGGGTGTGTCCTCGGGTAGAGGTAAAAAAAATTATATACTTTCAATAATCTGTCCTTTAACAGATATGTCTTTTGCAAATATTTTCTCCCATATTTGAAGATATTTTTGCTCATTATTTATCTGTTTTCCCAAGATGGTAGAGGCTGTGACATAAGGATCGTGGCATTCATTTTTATGTGTCCAGTGCTGCACGTATGTCCCACACCAGGCAGCATTGTGTACATATTTGTTTTTGGAAACAGAAATCACAGAAGCGGGAGTAAAAAAGGAATAGGAAACCAGAGAAATCACAGATTCGGAGATACTAACAAAACAATAAGAATATTTCTTTTCACTTATCAAAGAAGTGGAAAACAAGATAAGGAATTTCATTGTGCCTGTTGCGGAGGTGAATACGTAAAGTGAGAACAGCAGGCAGTGCAGCGAAAGTGGCACTTTGTGAGTGGACGGTAGTAGTGTGAACCAGAAAGACCTTGTGGGAAACACCTTCTGGAAGGGTGATTCACTCTTGGGCATAGTAATTCTACTTCTAGGAATCTATCCTAAGGAACGGGTCGCAGTACAGAAAAGGCCTTAAGTAGAAAGATATCTATTGCCTAACCACTAAAGGAATTTGGAGACATAAATTTCGTATACGAAGTGTGGTTGAGGAACTAGGAGGTATCACCTAAATGGACTATCAATAAGATAGATCAAACTATTTTTTACAAGAGCTATATAGCATCCTAAAAGGTAGAATGTTTTGTGTATAATGATTTCAATACGTGCACATCTGGGAAAAGAGTAGAAAAGATGAGGTGAAAATGAAAACACTTGGTTAGGAAGTGATATGGGCAGGTTTTAAAACTTTTTTTTAAAGATTTTATTTATTTATCTTTAGAGGGGAGGGGAAGGAGAGAGGGAGAGAAACATCAATGTATGGTTGCCTTTCGTGCCTCCCCTGCTGGGAACTGGCCCACAGGTAATCGGCCTGCAACCCAGGTATGTGCCCTGACTGGGAATCGAACTGCGATTGTCTGGTTCGCAGGCCCGCACTCAATCCACTGAGCTACAACAGCCAGGGCTTAAAACTTATTTTTTATTGTTATAATTGTGATTATTCAATAAATGTAAGTTATAAAAATCTTAGGAATGTTTATATAAACTCATAAGTGATCAAAAGTTCTGAGGCACTTGGATACCATGTATGTCCTGAGGAGCAAAGAGAAGCTGGGGGGGCAGACCCCACCTCTGAGACTGGCTGTGCTTTCTTTTACTTGGGCCTAGGCACTGTGGTCGGTGTGGACGAGAACACTGCTTTCTCATGGCCTACATGTGACCTGTGTGGCAACGAGAGATTGGAACAGAGTCCAGAAGACAGGTAAGGGGACAGTGACTGGCCTGAAAGACCCAAGGGCAACAGCAACCCCCAGGCCCCGGATTCCTACCGCCTTACTGCCTCAGGCCAGCTTCCACTGCACCAAGGGCCAGGCATGAGCTCTGAGAGCAAAGCCAAGTCCACTGAGCTGCAAGGAGCGCACCTCTTGATGTGCACCAAGACGCTGTGGTGCACATCACCACCTAACAGTGTATTTTCTTCATAACGTGGATTTTGGCTGTTCCTTGCAGCTCCTGTCATGAAAGAGAAAAGAGCCAGGTTTTGTCCTTAGCTTGCTTATTATTGAGAGAAAAGAGAAACGCTCCAGGTAAACATGAATAAATAAAACTAAGTTGGTAACTGTACAGCGTGTCCTTTGCAGGGGCACAGGTTTTTCCAGATACCAATGAACAGCTACATAAGCAGACACTGCTTCCCTGCAAGTGTTACTGCACCCACTCCCTAGGGGCCTGGGGTCTGAGGCTGGGTGTAGAGTCAGTTCTCTGAGTCAGTTCTCTGGCCCCCCAAGTTGACTGTATCACATGATGAATAGAAAGGGGCTCATTACTTTTCTGCTGCGTAAGAAGCAAAGGGCAGGTGTCTCCTTGATGCCTCCTGGGTTGATGGCATTATGTGTAAACGATTTATCCCTGGATTGTATTTAAGAAACAAGAGCAGTGTAAATCATAGGTTTACTTGATGGTAAGAAGGACCATAGATACTGATGATTAAAAGCAGGTTTTCCTGTTCCGGCAAATAGGAATCCCTGACTTCTTCTCGTCTGACAGAGGGCTTCCCTTTGCTTCATGGGATGTTAGCTGTCATCCTCTGTGCTCAGCCTGAACGAGGCTCCCTTGCCTTAGGGTCCCTTCCCAGGTGTTACATGCCCACCAAGCCATTAGTCAGAAGCTGAAGGAGTTGATGCTTATCCCTCAGAATAGGCTGAACCTTGGGCTTCTTCCGGCCTATTTAAAGAACTTGGCCTTTGAAAGTAAATCCCATTTTCTACCTCAGCAATCATTCGTGTTTAGAATAATGCCTGTCTACTGTTAGATTCTTCTGATTTGTGGATTTTCGCATCTTACCTTCCCTGTGTGTTTCCAAACAACAGAGGCACCTTTTCCTGTGCAGTCTGCTGCCGTGTGGTCGCTTGCCCTCTTCTGAAAAGACACCTCCAGGTCTTTCTGGACTGCCCCTCACGACCCCAGTGGACAGTGAGGGTCAAGGTAGGAGCTGATCCAGGAGCCCATGTGCATCCCATGTCCACTGCATGGAGCCACTTGGACTCACTGGCTGGGATACTGAGCATCTGTTGCTCTTTCCCTGGGTGAAGGGGAAAAAAAGGTGAAGGACTCATCCTCAGGAACACAAACTTTTTATGTCTGTGACTTTAAAAGTCACGTTTGACTTAAGGCTTTGAGATTAGAGCTACTAACGAGAAGACAGGTGGTTCATATTTAACATACTAATTTCAGGACATGAGTGTTTGTAGCATGAGCACTTACACAGCAGCGGGATTTTTGAACCCAGCCCTCTTCTGTTGTTGCAGCTGACGCAGAGCAGTATCTCTTCACTCCTGAGGTTTGCCGCCTGTGAGGATGGGGTAAGTCCAGGGACACCCAGCACAGCTGTGTGTCCTTATGCTCGTAAGCCCTAGGTTACCAGATCACCCCCCAGATGAAGACCCCTGTCCCATGTACTTTCAAGTACAATTGTCCCACAGTGTAATGGTGCACATGCTAAGTGTTTAGACCATCCTGAGACCTGAGCAAGTCCTGCTGCTGTTATTCACTGACAAACGCCCATGCCTACCAACGGGATCTTTCCTATTTGAACCTGAGGTTATTTCCTGATCATTCTTACAGTAGCTACATGAATCTGTGCCCCTGGCTTTGGATTATGATAAGACATTATTGAGATTTCAAGTTCTACTGCCATGGTTTCACATTAATGTAACAGAATTATCTGAGAAACACACATTTTTTTTTAAGTTTGGGTATTCAGAGTCTGCGTAACTGGTAACTTTACAATCATTTCTTAGGCCCAGTTTGCCTTCCCTGAGAGTTACTACAATGTAACTCAGTAAAGTGGTGTGCTCCTCCAAGAAAACCACCACCTGAGTATGGCCAAAGATAGTTTTCTTCTTCATAAGAGTCGGCCCTCATAAATGAGAGCAGTCTGTCCTTGAGAAGCCACCTGTGTCTTGTCAAAGCCATTTAGAAGCACAGGTGGCCCATGGAATTGCTGAACCCTAGACGAGTGCACTGGGGTGGTGACAGGGCACCGCTTCCCAGGCCACAAAAGGTACCTGTGACCGTGTTGGGGTCCACATCTAGGTAGAACACCTCGGCTGGCTCACAGGGTTATGGTGAAAGGGGAGGCTGATCTACAGAATCTCCGATGGGTTCCCATGGCCCAGTTCCGGCCCTGATTCCAGCCAGAATCTGAGCCTGATTTGATCCATCCTGGGAGGCTGCCTTCCCAGCACCTTGCCATCAGCTGTCCCACCCCATCCTGCACCTCAGGAGGGGCTGGCAGCTTCAGGACGTGGAGCAGCGTTTTACATTCTTTCCTGTAAACCGTGACCATCAGAGTTTGGATTAAATCGGAATGTGGCTAAATCTGTGAACAGAATCTTGAGAATCACTGGTCTGGCTATGGTTCCAGACCAGTGATTCTGGAATCACTTGGATTCAAGTTGATTTCAGGGTAGAGTCACCTGTGGAGCTAAAGCGTTTCCGGCTCCCTCCCTGAGCATGTCTGTTCAAACCAACTTGGTGACACCTGCCCCCCGCTCCAGTGCTAAACAAGGGGTTGCTGTGCCAACAGGGATTGAGGTCTAGACCTGGCTTCAGGAGGGCTTATAAACAAGTGTTCCCTAATTGTTTAAAAGGAAAATGTCAGATCACAATTGACCAAGAACTGTGCTCATTACTTTTCCTACATGTTGCTTCATTTAATCTTCCCAACATCCCAGTGTCAAAGAATCCACATTTAACTGTGAAGAAAACAAAGAGCGAAGGGCTTATCGCCACTGTTTTTGGTGGATGCAGAGACATCCCACAGAGGGAAAGTCACCCCCACAAGTGACCACCTAGCAGAGTTAGTAGCCAATCCAGATTGAGAGGTGGGGTGGGGGTAACAGACCCTTGTGTGTGTGTTTCTCCTCTTATTGAAGTTTATTTAATGGGTGACAAGTTAGCAGTACCTGTTGGCTGATTCCTTGTTGCCGCATCTGTCAGTCCCTGGAGGAAAGAGGGAGGGAAGAAAAAAGAAGGGCCTAGTGCTGGGTAAGTCTGATAGATTGGAGATTTCCAACAGGTGCTAGAGATAACAGAACTGGGTTATCAGGGAAATAACATCTGTAGAGAATGTTGGGGGAAGCGCTGGTAAAACTGCTTTAGGAGAACACATAGCAAAATGAACCAAAACCCACAACTTAAACTAAAACCAGCAACGCTTGGAGATGAAGTGCACCTCACCTGCTACTCCACACAGCAGGACGGCACAGTGCTTGCCCTGCAGTTCCGCAGGACCCTACCTGCCTCTTCGTGCCTGCACCTACCCGAGAGAGACCTGGTGCCTCCTCTAGGAAGCCTCCGGTGACAGACAGCCTTTGACCACTCTGCCTTAGGGACCCGAAGACCAGGAGGGAACCCTGATAGAAATCCTCTCTTGTTTATTTGATTTCCTTCTGATTGAGGCTGGCTTGTACCTCCCACACATTAAACTTCTCACCTGCAATGCTCTTTTGTAAAATACTGCACGAGCTCAAAAGAGCATGTGTGTGAACTTGTATGTGCACATGTGCATTGGATGAGGACACTGAGTTGTGATAGCCTCAGGTTCTAACTTTGCAGGTGTTGCATTATCAGAGCTGACACCAGAAAAATGAAGGTAAACTCCAAGCATGAGGTACATTGTAGTCAACTCCTTACCTCTACCCTGAGCTTCATTCACCGTGGATAATCAGCGCTTTACATCTGGCCAGTGTGGCTCAATTGGTTGAAGTGTCATTCGATAAACCAAAAAGTTGCAAGTTCGATTCCCATTTGGGGGCACGTAAGAGAGAGAACCGATTGATGTTTCTCTCTCACATCAATGTTTCTCTCCCTTTCTCTCCCCCTTCCTTCCCCTCCCTCAAAAATCAATAAGCATGTCTTTGGGTGAGGATTTACAAAAAGGACTTATGTGTAGACCTCAGCCATGAGTTTTCCAGTCTGGATTCTGTCCGTTTTCTGGGTGAGAAGCACATTTGCCAAAATCCAAAGAATTGCATTAGGATTTTCTATGAGAACCGTAACTCCATTGCCTTGAACAAGGCACTGCTTCTGGTTAGGAAACGTGAGTGTTAAGTTCTGTGCCTTCATTTTACTGTGGTCTCACTACAGAAGTGAAAACAATGGAATTGGCTGTTGTTGTACATGTCAGTTCTCAAAGGTAACATGACAGTGATACAAAACTCAGAGTTTGTTTCCTTGGCTTTAGGAAAAGTTAAAGGAAAATATATTCTGCCTTTTAAAAAGAGAAGCACATTTGCACATAGGCACATACACATTTCTGTGAGAGTACACATGGTGGTTGTGGTGGTTTTAATTTCCACCAAATATACACCAGTTATAATTTAATCTGTTTATAAATTATAGTAGTCATTATTGAAGACTGTAGCCACCAAACATGGCATTTTTAAAAGTGATTTTGCTGACTTTGTTCAAGTCAGAATTCCATACTTTTACCCCAAGTAAACATGCAAGGCCAACTAAAATGGTAAGGGACCAGAAAGAAGCTCGCTGTCCTATCTCAGTCTTCCCACCCCTGAAGGGTGACCTTTCACTATGCATCACCTTGTGCCCTCTCTTCAGACTGGCAGCCTTGCAACTCTGTCCTGTTCACTGCCATTTCTTCACTGAGATCCCCATCGTGGGCTCATAGTAAACCCTCAGTGAATGATCAAGGGCGTGGACCATAATGTTGACATCTATGTCCCATGTGATCCCAAGCTGCAGGAAGGCCTTGCCTACCACTATCAAGTTAGATACTTTTAGTTCCATCATTTCACCTGTCTTGACCAGGAACTCTCACTCCCTATGACTCCATTAAACTACTCTGTTGACCTTACACTAACTTTTTGTACTAGGCAACCAAAACTTTTTTTTTGAGAGAGAGAAAGAGAAACATCAATTGGTTGTTCTACTTACTTATGCAAAAACCATTGGTTGATTTTTATATGTGCTCTGACCAGGGATTGAACCCGCAACCTTGGCATATCAGGACAATGCTCTAACAAACTGAGCAACCCAAACTCCACAAATCACATTGAATAGGTATTTCACACCATGCATGCCTGTCGTACAGACAGGAAAATGAAAGTATCCCAGTGAGTTGATGTTAGAGCGGTGTTCACACCCCAGACTGCATGCTGATATTTATTGCTTCAAATAAACCATCTCAAACCTTGGTGGTTTCCCCACTTACCTGTACACATACCTTCAGTTTGGACAGGGCTCTACCAGGACAGCTCATCTCTGCTACAGTGGCATCAACTGGTGCCCCAAAGACTGGGCTGGAGTTACAGAAGGTCTTCAGACCCCAGCTAAATGTGCTCAGACCTGCCCAGGCTCTGACCAGCCACCCACACAGCCTCGACCCCCTCACAGCATGTGGCTGGGTCACAAAAGAGGCAGGCAGAAGAAGCTGGGCACCTTTCTTTACCAAACTTGAGATGTACCCACTGTCCTGTCTGCTGCACTCTTTTCATGAGAAGCCAGTCGCTGAGTCCAGCCTAGACCTAATATGTATATGTTCAGCACATATTGAACAAAGCTATTGTAGAGATTCCTCAAGGGTCTTGCTCAGAGAAGTGAGATATACTCCTGATATTACTCTGCAAGTGGCAGCAAAGGAGTTTCTCAAAGATCACATTACTTCTAGGGCTTCAGTCTCCCATAAGCCCAGGGATGTCATTTTACCCAATGCAGCCTCTTTATTTTCAGCCCCACCACCACCTGAGAAAGAAAATGTTCTGAGTTTTGATCTAGGGAGACTAAAGAAGGCACACTACACCTTCCTGGCCTAGTCATCTGGTACAGCTGCTGCCTGGTGCCCTGTGTCCATCTGGAGATGAAACTTGCCCAAGATAAATTAATCATCATAAGATACTCATCAAACAATGTAAATGAAAAGCTTTCTGCATACAACATAGAGGTATTTAGCTCAGTGTAACTGTAGAAGAAAGAGTATCCCATTAGGAGGGAAGTTTGGGGCAACGTACTAGAAAATCCTTTGACCAGAAGTGTCGCCAGATTGCAGAACTGTCCCAAAGGAAGTGGGAGATAGCTGCAAATAGCTGCAAGCATGATGCATGCCCAGCCCTTAGCATTCGCAAGTAATGAACATCCTTTTGTAGGTCTTTCCCCAACCTTCAGTTCCTCTCCTAGGACAGCTAGCTAAGAGATGATTATCATTACATTCCCTAACAAACATCAATAAGATATTTTAAATGTTCTTGTGTAAAAACAGGATTCAGTTATCAGAAGAAAATTATTTCCTTCACTTGCCCTATAAATGAGCTTTTTATCACAGCCCTTTTTTCCCTCCATCTCCTTACCATTGTTGTCCTCAACAATTTAAAGAGTGGAAAGTCATGGACTGGGGAAGGGCCATCTCCTCTGCTCTTTGGTGTTCTGTGGTGTTGGGAACAGAACGTGCAGGTCTAACTCTTTATGCTTTAACCAGCATGCCTTTTCTCACTGCAGAGTTATGAAGTGGAGAGTGTCATTGGAAGGAAGGTGGGGTTGTTAAATTGTTTTGTCCAGTCCATAACCACCCACCCGACCAGCTGCATTGGATTGGAGGAAATCGAGCTTCTGAGTGCAGAAAGAGCCTCCTGAGATTACCATGGGTCGTAGGAATCTGAAGATTGCAGTGTGGCTGCAAGGGTGCTGGTGGTGGTTTTTGGTAGTTACTTGTTAACTGTGTAAAAAGTGAGTATATTTTATGATCTTGAAATGGAATTTAAGATTTCTCAATGGCACATGTTAATAAAATGTTGTAAACTATAAGTCAAAACACTTTTTGTACAGTTATATATTATTACCTTTTTGCAAACTCAGGAACATAACTGTTAATGAAACTTACATAAGCTAGAAGTCTTCATTTTGTATTTATCTCAGGCAAGAATATTAATGTAGCGAGAAAAAAATTTCATTTCCAATTTTAAAGTAAATTTTACCACAATTCAACATGTTTTTCTTATACTATTTGTTCTAACATTCCCCCAAAGAATACACTGCAAAGCTTAAACCTTTGTCCTACATTGTTATATTACCGTTCTGCAATAAATGTCCAACCTAAGCATTTTGCACTTTTGTTTTTAACTTCAGTATTTGGGGGGGGGGTATTCTGGGGAACTTTTGTCAGGGCTTAAAATGTTACCCATAAAGTGTAAATAAGTTAACTAGTGTGATTATTGGTATACTGAACAGAGATATAATTAGCTCACTCTAGATAGGTCTGTTTAATCGTACTGGATACTGCGCACAAAGAACCAAGATCACAGACTAAAAGAGCAGATTGTTAACATTTGTTTTGTTGGCAGAGATCTAAATTAAATGTAGAACCATGAATTAATTAGCTTTGGACACTAAAGACTTTGTTTTCTTCTCCCTTATAATGATATAATCATAAGAGGTCATAATTAATTACATAACATAGATGTACTAGCCAAGACAAGAAAGGGTACCTAGTAACCACTTTCGGGGAAAGGAGAGGGCTTTATTTATTTATCCAGATTAAGCTTTGAAACATTACCATTACTGGCAAAATAGCCGGTTTTAAGTAGCTTTGTGGCTGTCCTTTTCATCGACGACATGACTATTTTGTATCCACACGCACTTTGAAAATCTACTTGCAGCTGTCCATGAGACAGGAAAGTGAAAGCAAAGTCCCACGAAAACCAACGATAATTCAAACATGCTTTTAGAATCATGTGAGCCATCCTTTACCCCCTCAACCCTCGAGCAGCCAACTAATGTTGGGGAGCTGTTCAGCTATTCTCTATAGGGTCCCAGATCAGCTGCAGGGCCAGTCCTCCAGCCAGTACCCTCCCCAAGTCAGGGTACTTTTTTCGGAGAAATTTGCTAGCTTTACGTGAGTCTAGTCGTACTTCGCTGATCTTAGGCAAGTTAAATAAAACATATGGAGGCAGACTTTGGCATGTTTCAAAAGCAAAGCAGACTTTCTCTTCTAAGGAACTCGGTTCCCCGTCGGGGATGACACACCTGGATCCCATACGGCCTTCCAGGTCCCGAGCTGCACACCAGGTACTGGAATGCAAGGGTGCATGCAAGGAATCACCTTAAATACAGGAATCAGGGTGGTTTAAAATGCTGCTTTATTCTTACAAATACTGTAAAAATTAATATAAAAAAAAGTGGGCATGCTTTCCTCTTATCTACAATACAAAGGGTTGTCTTAAGTCTTTTTTTTTAAACAAATGTACCTTAGCTGCATCAATAAGAGTAAGATGTAGAAAAGGCTACCATTATAAAAATAATTTAAGGGAAAATAAACATGTATAGCTTCTCTCGAAGTTCAGTGGTAGCCAAGTCCAGGCTGGAGCTTCCTTTCACTCACACGTTCCAAAGAAACTGTAGCCGGCGCCTAGTGGCTCTCGCAGCGTCCGTCGGGTATGAGGTATGGGTTGTGGTGAGTCTCCCCGCGCCCCAACCCCGGGTACCAGCGTTACCGGCAGTCCGAGGCCCCAGCTGCCGACATAAAGGAAGAGCTGGGCAGCTGTTTGAAGAACTGCCGGAGGCCAGTCAGGTCCCGCGTGAGTTGCTCCACGCGCTGGTGCAGCTTCTCGTTCTCGGCCGACAGTTCCACTAGCTTCTGCTGCATCTCCTGGTTGCGCCGCTTGGCCTTGTCCCTGCTCTTTCGCACCGCGATATTGTTGCGCTCTCGCCGCTGTCGGTACTCCGGGCTGCCGCGGTCGGGGCCCCTCTTGCCGGAGGTCTTCTCCCGGGCCTGGCTGGGCGCGGGGCTCGGCCCCGGGCTGCCCCGTGGCGGCTCCGGCGACGTGGGTGGTGTTGGCTGCCCAGCGGCCACCAGGCTCACCACGGTCTGTGCGCACGCGGCCACCTGCGCAGGCAGCAGTGAGCCAGGCGAGTCGCTGTCGCCCCAGTCCGGTTCGCGCTTCAGTGGTCGCGGGGCTGCGTTACTCGGAGTTCGTGTGAGGTTCCCCCCAGGCAGCAGCTCCAGCGGGCTCGCTGTGCCCGTCCCGCCTGTCGCGCCCGTCGCGCCCGTCGCGCCCGTCTTGTGGTTGCTGTTGAAAAGGTCGGCGAAGAGCTCGTCGTGGCACAGCTCCAGGGTGGGCACCGCAGCCATGGAGTCAATGTAGGCGCTAAAGTCTATGGCGCTCTCATCATCGTACATGGCGGGGACAGAAGCGCTCGGCTCGGTCAGGCGGGCCGGCTTGCCGGTCCTGCCAGGCTCGTAGAAGGGCGCAGGATCCGAGGGCCATAACACGCTGCGGGCTGGGCCGTCTAGGCTGAAAAGGGCAGAGCTCATGGCGGCGTCCGGCTCGGCCGTGTTCTAGCGCAGCTGTCACCTCGCTAGGTCCGGCTCCCTGCTTTTTCTAGGCCCGCTGACGCACAGGCCCCGCCCCGGCTCCAGAACCGCGGGGCTGCCCCGGGGCCCCGGGGAAGGGGAGCAGTGAGCGGCAACGCGTCCTCCTAGGAGCAGGCACCCGGTCCGGAGCCGCCCCTCGAGCCTTCCCTTGTGTCCCTCTTCCTGACTACACACCCCAGAGCTCCCCGTACCCACGCAGGAGGGGAGAGGTGTGTTTCCTCCCCGCCCACGGAGTGTGGGCCCGAGCCGTCCTGCTGGGAATGACCCTCCCTCTGCCCGCCCCCAGGGTCCTTCTCTCCTTCCTGTTTGTGGTGTTGGGAGCCTCCACGTTCTTCTGAGCCCGGAGTAAAATCAAAACCTGGACTTAGCTGTAGTGACCGGTTCCCATAGTCAGTGAGGGGGAGTCCAGGGGAGAGCGACCCGGGTAAAGGGACAGAGCTAGGAGACCTTCTCCAGACAAGACACCTCTCGGCCCCGAGGCTGGTGCTTCCTGACCCAAGGGGCAGCAGGACGGGGCCAAAGGAGGTGAAGAAGTCGAATCGTGGCGCTCGAGCTGCCGGCCACCCTAAACGCTGTTGGCTGAAGCCCGGAGTTGGCCAGGTCCAGCGGCAGTTCCTGGACCCCGCCGGGAACCAGTGGCCCCGCTCTCAGTCCACACTCAGCCATTTCTTCCAGGTCTGCGAAAGCAGTGCCATCTTGTGGCGGTAATGCTCCTTCGGTCCTGTTTTTAGTTCCAGTCTCTTGAACTTTCCAAAAAGTTCTTTTGAGTCTAAAGCACTTGGAGAAAGATAAGATTTATACTAGCAGATCTGACAGGGTATTAAGTTGCTAGCTCTGCACATTGTCAAATGCGTGAGATTTAGTATGGATTGTCTTCACTGGTTAAGTTTCCTTCAGTTTAGGGCAGGCATTTGTACTCAATTCCATTTATCAAATCACTACCCCTATGCAAACCTGGACTCCATCTCGCACCTCTTCTTGCCTTCGGCTTCTCATTCACCATACCTTGGGTCCAAACACTAAATTCTCCACAAACTCCTGCCGGAGTTTCTGCATTCAAGTCCAGAGATAATTTCCAATGATATGCTATGGGGTATTTAATAGGCTTTCTAGAAGGACAAACATACTGCTTTAGAATTACCCAGAAAGAGTACACAGTGTTGGTGCTATACCATTAATTGTCCCTTAAGAATAGAAACTAAGATAACTTACAGTGTGGGTTAATGCACACCTGGGTTAAAAGAGCCCTACTAAAATATCACTTACTAAAATTGCCCTCTATGACTTATTTTAGTCATATTAATCATTTCCTCATCTGGTTTCTCAGGAAAAAAATCATCTCACATCTTGCCAAAATTTTTTTTATTGATTTAGAGAGAGAGAAGCATCAACTTGTTCCACTTATTTATACATTCATTGGTTGCCTCTCATATGTGCCCTGACTGGAGATTGAACCCACAATCTTGGCATATCAAGACAACACTCTAACCAACTGAGCTACCTGACCAGGGCCATATTGCCAATTATTAAAGGCACAATTTTTCATGTTTTGTTGAAATCAGGATGTATGTGACAATCACCATTGGCCAAGGTGTCAGTTACAATGTTTGGTATTATTGCCTGCATATGGGTTTCAGTGGGTAGGAATGAAATCTTTAGGGATAATAGTGGAAAAGCACGCTTTTAAGAGATTCTGCATCACCAACTCTCTTGATGGATAGAGAGCAGTATTGTATATAAAACCTAAACATCAACAATACTAATTTTAAAAGTGATTCAGATCGGGCAGTGAACATGAAGAAGTCTAAGAATATCTTAAGCAGTATGTTTGGCTTATATTTTCCTGTTTACATGTGCATGAGAATGATATATTATTAAAATCATTGTCTGAAGGAGTTCTTTATATAAGTACAAAATAGTAATTTTAAGAATATGAGAGGAGCAAAGTCACTAACAATGGTGGAGTAGAGTTCTATCTCCACAATAACTACTGACAAAAACTGTCAGAATTGGCTTTGATAGAGCTCTAGAATCTGGCCAAAAACTTAATCAGAAGAAAGCATAATGAAGAAAGAATCTGCTGCATTGCAATAAGAGAGCACTGTGGCATTTTAAATTGCCTGCTTTTTGTCCCCCATTCCCCAAGTTGCTGGCAGTATGAACTCCAGGACTGCATTGCTGTTACCAGGGACAGCAATGTAGACTCCAGTTTCAGCAAACTGAGGTTGGGTGTTTGGACATGCCCAGTCACTCCCTGTCAGATCAAAGCAAGGGTAACATTTGGGAATTTGCGGAAAGCACTTAAGAGCAAAACTACTGGCTATAGAAGCCTAGAGCAAGCAATAGAACGACTAAAAATCCTAGGAAAGAAGAGCTTGGAAAAGGAGATAGGTGGAGACTAGGGTTTTTAAAAGCTCCCACATATACTAGGAAATCAAGAAGACCACATGCATACTCAGAAAAGGCCCAAGAGATCCACAATCTCTCACTCCTGGCTGACCTTAACTCTCCACTCATTCACCAAATGAAAGCTAAGGCAGAATTATAAACAGCCTGACCAAGCTTAGACGTTCTAAATACATCAGTCTTTAGAAATTGAAGAGGCTCAAAATGCTTAAATTACTACTGTTAAATGCTATCAGTATTAGAAAAAGCAATTCTATTTTTTTCCTGCTTATCATAACATGGAGTGGCTATAACTCCATTGTAATGTGGGACCATTTTTGGATGCTCCATATGGAGCAAGATACAGGGCAAGAACGGTACTCCAAATTAAAGTCTAAAACAGTGAGAATGGTTTTTGAGCAGTGCTATCTAAAACAAAATGAAGCCCCAGCTGGTGTAGCTCAGTGGATTGAGCATGGGCCTGTGAAGCAAAGGGTCACTGGTTCGATTCCCAGTCAGGGCACATGCCTGGGTTGCGTGCCAGGTCCCCAGTAGGGGACACATGAGAGGCAACCACACACTGATGTTTCTGTCCCACTCTTTCTCCTTCCCTTCCCCTCTCTCTAAAAAAAATAAATAAAATATTTTTTAAAAAAGCAAAATGAAGTTTCAAGTAAAATATATATATATTAAAATACACATCTATATATCATAAATATAAATGTAATATTTATATATTATATATAATTTACATTATATAGTATTTACATATAAATCTATATAATATACAAATATAAACACAAATCTAATATTTATATTTAATATATATTTATGTTTAATATAAATACATAGTATATATTTATATGCATTATGTTATACATATAGTATATGACAGTATATGTTTATATATAAACCATATTTATAGCTTATAAATTATATACTTGTATGTTTATAATTATAAATATATAGCTATATATGAACTATATATTTATATGTAAGTAGTATATACGGTTACATATTATATAATATGTATAAGATAATACATATAAATATATACTATATACTTATATTTGTACATAAAATAATATGTACTGTTATATATTATATGTGTTTAACATATTACATATAAACATGCTATATATTTAATATATAAATATATAAATATATATTATATACAAAACATTAATACATAAAATATATGTAAAATGTATAATATATATGTTTATATTTTATTTATTTTATGTTTTATAGAAATATATTTATAATGCATGATATGTAAAATATATAAATATATATTAATAAATGTATATAAAATATTTTTCTTACTTTGGTTTCATGGATTTTAAGGTAACTATTAATATACCAACTCACCACCAAACCAATGAGGCAGATTTCAGTGGCCACACCCAACAAAGAATAGACATTATGAAAATAGTATTGAAAAGTCACAGAACAAACAAAAACAGTGAAAGCAAACATAAAAAAACATGAGGAGAGGAGAAAAATTTGATTTCCAGAACTGCCAAATTATACTGTTCAAAATATAACAACAATAATATATGAGGCCAGCAAAAAATGAGAGAATATGACTCATTCACAGAAAAGAAATAAATAGAAAATGTCTCTGAGGAAGTTCAGATATTGGCTTAGTGGGCAAAGACTAACTCAACTGTTTTAGATATGCTGAGAGACCTAAAAGAAACTATGGACAAAGAACTAAAGGAAACCAAGAGGATAACATATCAAATTTTAAAAAAAGCAACAGAGGACCTGGCTGGTGCAGCTCAGTGGACTGAGTGCTGGCCTGTGAACCAAAGCGTTACTGGTTAGGTTCCCAGTCAGGGCACATGCCTGGGTTGTGGGTCAGGTTCCTGGTTGGGGGCACATGAGAGGCAACCACACAGTGATATTTCTCTCTCTTCTCCCTCCCTTTCCCTTTCTCTAAAAGTAAATAAATAAAATTTAAAAATAAAAACCAACAGACTTATAATTATCAATAAGAACCAAATTTTAAAGCTGAAATTAAAAATTTACTAGAGGGTTACAACAGGAGGACTGAGCAAGCAGAAGAAAGACTCAACAATTGACTATAGGACAATTAAAATTATCTAATCAGGGAAACATATAAAGAAAACCATGAAGAAAAGTGAACAGAGCCTGAGGGACCTGTGACATACAGTCAAACAGATTAGCATAAGCATAATAAGAGTCCCAGAAGAAGAGGGAGAGAGGAGGGTGGAGAGAATACATGAAGAAATAATAACCAAAAAATTTCCAAATTTTATGAAAAGTTTGAATCTATACAACAAAGAAGCCCAACAACTACCAAGTACAATAAATCAAAGAGATCCACACCAAGAAAGATATGGAAAGCCAAACACTTGAGAGTGAAGCAACTCATCACAGCAAGAGATCCTCAGCAAGATTAATAGCCAACTTCACCCCAGAAACCAGGTTGGCCTCTAGAACTAGTGTGATAGAAGACAAAGATGTCAACAGAAAATTATATATCCTGCCAAGATGGAGAAATGAAGAGATTCCCAGATAAACGAAAACTGAGGGAGTATTTCACTAGTAGGCCTCCCTTACAACAAATACTAAAGGGAGTACTTCAGGCTGAAATAAAAATGCTAAACAATAAATCAGAGGCATATGAAGGCTGGTGACAGTAACTACATAAATAAATGTAAAAGTCAGTATTATTGTATTTTTGGCTTGTAAACCTTTCTTTGGTTTTAAAAGA